TTGCTGCCTATATTGTGGTTTCAGTTACTTATAATATTTGAAAACCATTCTCTTGTTCTGCAATATTTATGATAATAGTGTTAATAGTAGCTGTAATCTAGACGATATTATGATTTGGTTTATTACACTATTTTGAATTGTGGTTGTCATGTTGGCAATAAAAAGTTATATAGAAATCTATTTGAAAAAGCAATTTCATACCTTTAGTGTTAATGAAATATTGTATGCTGATATAGTTTGATTTGTATATAATTTGGTTTGTTTAAATACTGCTAGCTTTTTTTAGATATACATATTTTGGTTAGTTTTTCTTTATACTGTTAGTGTGAATCTTAAAATATATGCGTGAGTTTATATACATGTATACATGGATCCTAAGTTTGGTAAAAAGATATATCTATCCTTTTTTTTTTATTTCAAAGTTTACATATATATTGTTAATAGTATTTTTGACATTTATTTTATTTGTATCTTAATATCAATTTTGTAGCAATAAAAATTTATTATGAATAATATGGGTGTTTTAATCTTGTTTTTTAAAATATACATATCTTCAATTTTTTAGTTTTTTTTTAAAATAATAAGTTTTTTTTTTTAAAAATATCTTTTAATTTTGTTTTAGATTTCTATTAAATTATTTAGCATATAAAAAAAACTCAAAATATTTTCTTTATAAATTATGTGAATTAATCCTTTTAATTTTAATTTGTGTATTTAAGTTTTAATCTTTGATCATTTTAATTTTCATTAATCTACTTGACTTTTAACTTTTGTGACTTGCAACTTAGTTTTCTTTTGCTTACGATTTCGATTCTTGCATCGACTATCTTTTTCTCATTATCTTATGTTCATCTCTATTCATCCAACTCATGCATTCGTTTTTTCATATTATTTCTCTTTTTGTTTGACTTCATCCTATGTTTTTTACTTCCATATTTTAGGCTTGACTATCTTGTTAATTTATAATGACTTTTGAGCTATGTCTCGATTACTTGTTGATTACCTATTTAAATCCAAGGGAAGGGTTTGTGGTTGACTTCATTGTCATGTGTATCACATTTCTCTTTTGTATTTTTAACCCTTTGTATGACATTTGTTTCCTCTTTAGGTTAACTACCTTAGGTTGTATATACTTTGATTATTAACTTTAGACTGATTATTCTAGGTTATGCCCCTTTCTTAAGATAAGATTCCCTTAAGATTTCAACTTAGACAACTTACAATTAAAACATATTCTCTCACGAGAGAATTAGACATGAATCATCTATGTGATCGAGATATAATTCTCCGACCCCATAACATAGTCGAGAAAGATGTAGGGTCTTTTCTGCTTGAGAGAGGTACGTGGCATACTCATCGGTCTAATCTGAGTTGGAGCCCTTATTTCAATACGACATAAAGATCGGTTGTGAATTCAAAGATTTGCGATTCAAGTTCATTCAATAGCTTGATATCTGATTCTCACTGCAACACCATGTGGTTGAACTTTGGAGCCAATGACCTCAAGATCTTTGCAACAATTGATATTGGTGTCAACACTTCTCCACATACATTGATTTGATTCACCAATTTTCTAACCCTAGTGAAAATCCTATTATGCTTTCATTGTCTTCCATCTGAAGCAATTTATATGTTCTTTTGTAAGTTTGTAACCTCACCTCTTTCACCTTCTTTGCACCTCCAAATGATTTCTCCAAGATCTACCATGCTTCTTTCGCTGATTTTACATCGCTGACCTTTTCGAAATTGTCTGGATCAATACATTGATGAATTATGAAGAGAGCTTTATAATCTTTCTTCTTCAATTCTTTGTATGCAACCTTTTCTTGACCTGACACATTTTCTGCAAGTTGTGTTACTCCTTCCTTCACAAGATCCCAAAGATCTTGGTAATAGAAAACCATCTTCATTTGTTTGCACTAATTCTTATAATTCCGACCCTTCAGATATGGGAGATTCATCAAAAAATGCATGTTTAGATGATTCATCACTATCGTGTTTTTCTTCCCACGAATCGCTCAGCCAATGCTCTAGATGTCAAACGTTGGAATTAAATCCAAGACTTCGAGTAATTCCGAATCAACCTTGATGAACAAGATTCAATCACACTGATCGATCTCCCTCTTATTCTTCACTCTTCACTAAGGTGAATCACTCAACCTTGATTGCAAGATTGTATTATTGCACAATGATGATGAAAACAAGAAAAGAAAATTGAATTTAGAAAGAAGAAGAAGAAGAAGTTTAGGGTTTTCACGAAAATAGGGAAGAAGAAGTTTAGGGTTTTCACGAAAATAGGGAAGAAGAAGAATTTCTACATAATAACTATTTGCTCTCAAAACTACAATTTTATTCAACTGAATCACACATTACAATAATAGGGGTTACTACCTTCTTGTAAATTTAACTTGCTTGCTCCCTAACTAAAGCTAAAAAACAAAAGCCCAAAATACCTAATTCAGCTAACACTACAAAATTAGGTTTAAGACAAAATTCATGTCGAGGCTAAATCCTCAACACTTCGACATAGTGTTTTAAAAATCGGACCGGACCGGCCGGTCGGACCGGGAACCGGGACACTAGCCGGCCTGGTTCAATTGGCGGATCGGTCTCGCCATTGAACCGGTGCGAACTGGTGTGAACTGGGAAAACCGAAAAAACCGGCAGTTTAATTGTTTTTTTTTACTTTTTTTTTCAAAAACTTTTTTTTTATTTTTTTTAATATACTTAGTAGTGTATTACTTAAATAACATTCTCACATAAAATTTTTTCGTTAGTGACAAATTACAGACTTTATTGGCTATTTGTTAATTTTGCTAATACATTTTCCTAAATAGTTTGTAACTTTGTGGTTAGTAACAAATTAGTTACCTTATTATTTTAACTTTTTAGATTGTTATATATTTTATCTTTTTCTATTTTGTCACTGCTAATAATTTTAATTAATTATAATTTATAGTTAATTATATTTAGTGTCAAAATATTAACAATAGAAAAAGACATGTATTTTGTTGAAAGAGAAAGTGAAATAGTATAAACATATCGAATTTTATTTGGTTTTCTTTTTAGGATAATCATATTTTACTTACAAATAGTTACCTCTTATTTCATAATAATCAATAAATGATATCATTGATGGGGAAGCTGTTGCAATTAGACTTTGTTTGCAATTAAATTTTGTAATTTTGTATTATTTTGTTATGTGTGATACATTTGTTTAAAATTTGAATTTAAATTATGAACTTGTGAATTTATGATATGATATTTTCAAAAAATTTAAGTACTAGTTATATTTTTTTAGAAACTGAATCATCCGGTTTTATATCTATATAATAACATGTCAATTCAATCGAGTTATCCGGTTTAATCCGGTTTAGTCATGCGGTTCGACCAGTGACTCATTGGTTCGACCGATAAAACAGTGACCCAATACCCTCACCGGTTCGATGACCGGTCCGATTTTTAAAACACTGCTTCGACAACCAGGTGTTTCAACACACACAAGGCTATTTGACAACTTCTTATTCCAATCGAGCAACCTGCTTTGATACAAGAAATTACAATTCAACACATATTATAAACTTTATTACAGAACTCTGAGAATGATATTTTCAACTGTTGTGTAGTCTGAGATATTTTTATAGTTTTTAAATATTTGTTTTGTTTCATTTAACAATTATAATGGATTATATAATTTATTTACATTTTATTGAATTATTTTATAGGAAATTTATTTTATTTATCGATTAGTTTATATGTTTAATTAAAAATTTGATTTAGTTTATTTTAAAAATATATAAATTATTAGTCTCAAGGTAACAAAAATTAATATTATAAAAATCATTAAAATAATTAATTTTTTTTTTTAAAATTTAATTTCACAAAGAATAACGGTTTCAAACCACATCAACATGATTTTTGAAAACAATTTCATTAGTGACTACCTTTTCAAACCAGCATAAATTTCGATTCTTAAATTTTGTGTTACATGTTTTACGAGCCTCGCCAAAGGCCAAAAATAAAAAAGAGAGATTACATTAGAACTTCCCTCAAAGTGAGATTCTCTCCCAAATCTTCCCGAAGGAGATCTTCTACAAAACTTGGAGCAGACAAATTTTTTATCAACTCCTTATTTAACCCACACTTAGCCTTAGCCAAGACATCTGCACACCTATTTGATTATTTGAACACATATGTTATAAGGGCTAATTCAAACCTACTTAAAAGACTCTATCCTCCTAAACATCTCAACTCCCTCACTTCTCCTTGTCTTTTCTTGAATGATATCCCTCACAATTTCAGAAGAATCAATATTTACTTCCATTCTTTTGACTTCAAAATCTAGAGCTAATATCAAGCTTTCATGAACTCCTTTAGTTCCGCCATATAGCAACTACAACGTCCAGCTTCTTAACAATGTTTTTTAAGGAGACATTTTAAAACGATCGCAACTATGTACAAAACCAGATATTTGCACAATTTATAAAACCTTCACTATATTGATTATTCAACGGTCAAAACCATCATAAATCTCAAAATATTAATGCAAATAATTTGTTTTGTTGTAATAGTTAAATGTATAAAAGTCATTTTAAAAGTTTTTTTTTCCTTTAAGTCTTAGCTTTTTAATACAGTATCTTCTATGTCATATCCAAAAAAGCTTTAGAGGTATTGTAGTCACCAAATTTAAAATCTCTAAAAAATCATTTAAATATACATAATTTAAAATAAAAAAATTGGAATTGACAAACACATAACATTATATTTACTTTCTATAAACATTATATACATCATAGATGCAATACAATGAAATTAAAATACATTAATGTACATATACATGTGAAAGTAGTTTTATTGTTTTCTCTCTACACAAGTGTACGATACATAATTCATATGTTTTTAATCTTTACAAATATATATTAAGTTTTATTTTTATAAGAGAAATTATTTAACAGATTCTAATTGTTCTGATATCTGAAAAAGCTACTTAGTATAATAATTCACATTGGTAAAAATGGTTGTTTGATAGAAAACATTGTTGAATTGGAATCTATAAAGAGCTTAATCCTTCTCATTGCAACTTTTAATGTTTGTTGAGACATATTGGCAAAGCAAATCCTAAACCAACCCGGTTCAGAACAATGACAAGAAGATCCAGGAGATATATTCAAACCAACTTGATAAAGAATCATTTTCCAAAGCTCTTTTTCCGCTTCAAAAGTCGTAGAACTCAACAAATGCTTCATATCAACCCAACAAAATAATCCAGCATTGCTCTTTAAGCATCGAATGCCTGCGTTTCTCAAACCACTTACTATTGTCTCCTTTTGCTTCTTCAACCTTGTTTTGTTCTCTTCCATATACTTAAGAGTAAATTTCTTGTCACCGAGTAATTTTGCTAGCAAATATTGAGTTTGCGACGAAATAAGTCCAAAACTTGACATTTTGGTAGCCATAGATACAACATTTTTGTTGTTTGAGTATATCATTCCTACGCGAAAACCAGGTACACCTAAATCTTTTGACAGACTATAAACAACGTGAACACGCTTTGAAATATTTTCACTTGCGAGACTTCTTTCTTTTATAACCTCCATGATACTTATAAATTTGGGTGAATCAAAGACGGTACCCGAGTAAATTTCGTCGCTTATTATGTGGATGTTTTTGTCTATTGCAAAGTTAACTAGATGGTTAAGTTCAGTTTTGGTCATGGTTGTGCCTAGTGGATTTGAAGGGTTGGTTACTAGCACACCTTTGACATTGAGGTTCAAGTTTATGGCTTGTTGATAGGCTTGTTCTAAAGCAGTACAAGTGATTCTAAAACCATTTGAACTTGAACAATGCATTGGAACAATTTCAACCCCTGTACGCCATTTAAGATCTCTGTCGAACCTGAAAATTTTAAGGATTAAGTACTTATAATTAATTAAATTATGTTTAAACATTATTAAGATTATATAATTAATTAAATTAATACCCTGGATAATAAGGTGTGGGAAGAATGAAAGCTTCTCCTGGATTAGCAAGACAAAACATGAGAATCTCGTTTGCAGAAGTTGCTCCTGCTGTGAGGACAAGATTATTGGAATCAAATTTAATTTCATTTCCTCTTATTTTTGCCATAAACTCCACCAATTCCTACAACATAAAAAGAAGGAACTGCGTTAACGAATACTACGAGATTTTTAGGAGTTTAATGGATAAACATGGTCAATACCAAGAAATTTTACACTCGTCTAATAAGAAATTATCAATTTATCAAACCATCTAAGTCATTTTAAATTATTAATATGATGTCACGCGTCACGTGCACGTTGTTCATTTTAAATTATCATTATGATGTGACATAATGCAAGTCAATGATATCATCTATTGTACAAATGCAACTAATTTATAAAAAATATATAATTTATTTATTTTTAAAAGTAAAATTCTGATCAATGAGTTAATAGACCAAAATAATAATTAAAAAAATATTGAAAGTAGTATTTTTGTAATATCAAATTAAATATTTTAAAAACAAGACTGAAGGCTTTATATAAGAATATGTTTTACATGCATGCAACTCATATCGTAACATAATTACATAAATTTGGGTTTATGTTTCCTATTGTTTTCAATTAATGGAATGATGTTTACTAACTTTTTTTTAAAAATGACAAGACTATGTGCAATTGCAATTGGGAGGAAGCTGAAACCATTTGATAACAAAACTGACATTCGAATTAAATTAGACGGTTCGGTAAACTGGATATTAGTGATAAAAAAAATTAAAAAAAAAAATTAAAAATAGATTACACACACTCTATCAATTAATTATTGCAATTTCTATTGAATGACCCGATTATTAAATATATAAATATATATGTCTTACATTTTTGAAAACCGGTAAACCATGATAATCTTGGAATAGAGCAAGTTCTCTAAATATGGATATTCCATCGTTTTTCATCTCTATAGTATCAGAATTTCTTTCAAGCCATGATTCAACTACGTCAAATGAAAGCTGCAAATTCAAAAAATAAATTATTCTTTTTAAAGAAATATATATATATATATATATATATATATATATATATATATATATATATATATATATATATATATATAATAATAATAAAAATGTTTAATTTTTATTAAAAAAAATTTAAAAATTTTGATTTTTTTTTTTTTAAAATTAACGAACCTGATTTTCCGCAAGTCCCATCTGAATGATCCCAGTAGGATTATGAATGGGATGATATGGATTCTTCTCATACTCTTGCCATCCTAAAAAGTAACTAGAGTCTTGCCCATGAGACTCCTCACTAGCCTTCCTAGACAACATGTTTTCTTAACCAACACAATAATATATCAATGTAACTTGAGGAATCAAAAAGTGAAATCAAAACACAAAGAGAAATTGATCACAAGTTTTTTTTAGAACAATGATATTGAGGAAGTGATGTGGTGAAAATAATAGCCGTCTAGGGTTACATATTTATAAGGCTGTAAGGTACACCACTAGCCAGACAAAGTGAATGACATTATCAAGACACAAGAATGTCTGCACTCATGCCAATTTAGTCAATTAAGGATAATGGTAACTTTATGCAATGTCTATCAATGTTTTTTTTCTATGTTACTAACTTTTATTTAGAGTTTAATAAATTGTTCACAATTTTTTTAGAGAGTTAATATATAAAAGAGTGGTTTTATTTTCTAACGTAGTGACAATAAATTAATAAATGCAAAACTTCCATTTGAGTCAGTAAAGTTATAGGACTATTCAACCTCCATTAATATTAGTTATTATTAAGTTATGGATATTTTTCAAAAAAAAAAAAAACTCAACGGTGATTGTATATTATTTATAAGAGATACTCCAAAATTACAAATTATTGAAGGAAGACATAAAAATATATTTATATTTATAATAATGATAAAAGGAAATTATGTATAAAGTGGGGTGGAAGTAACGTACTCAACGTCAACTTAGATAATTAGATTGAAACTTCCATCTAACTTCTTGGAATTATTGATGAATGTTCAATGCAGCTGTTAGAGATAAAAACAAATATGAGTGATTTTATAACTGAAAACAATTAAAGAAAAAAATGGGCTTAATAGTATCTAGGTCCGAAAGAAATTAATCTGTCACCCACCATTTATATTTTACACTCTCCATTTGTATGAAAAGACAAAACTAATTTTAAAATTTACGATTCTGCAGTGGATTTTTCAAATTTTAGAGCGATACCGAACATTTTAAAATAATTATTAAAAATTTCGAAACGTGTTTTTCACAGAAATTCTTAAATTTATAGTATTTTGAATCAGAAATTTTAAAATTTGCATATTAGAAATATCAAAATTTCATGTAGTTATAAAAATCTAGTTTTGTATCGAAAAATTTAAAATTTCCGATAGTTATAAAAATTTAGTTTTATATCGAAAATTTTGAAATTTCAGATAGTTGCCATTATTTTTTTATCTAATTTTTTTTTGCAGTGAAATTTAGAGGTAAAGACGGTACTATGCAGGGAGAGCTGCGGACGAGCATCAGACCAAGGTAAGGCTGTCAGGGATGCTGATGTTGAGTCTTCTCAGCTACGGGCAGGACGAGTGGTCTCCGCCGGTTCACACCGGAAGCGGATGGCTAAGTGGGATCATTTTCGGGCACCTCGTTACACTCGACGCCTGCCAGTTCGATCAGCAGACCGGGCTACAGATGAGGTGTTGCCAAATGTTCCAGTAGTTGATCCCTTTGTTGAGTCGGTAGTTGCGCCGGCGGTTGATCCAGTTGTTCAGGAGGTTGCTCAGGAGGTTGTTGAGGAGGTACAATCAGATGTTATTGTTGGTAAGTCGGGTCCATCTGTTACTGGTGACGCAGAGGTTACGACTCCTTCGACTGAGCACTTTGTGCACACTGATGAAGGATTTCTAGGAGGACCCGTTGACGGGTCTGTGCTTACAGAGTATGCTAAGCATGTGGCCTTACGATTATGGCGGGGCGAGGTATATGTCTTTTATGTTTAGTTTAAGCTTTTGTTTATATATGTTTGTCACGTGAGATATCAACTAATTTGTTTATATTCTATTGTCACGTGAGATATCAACTAATTTGTTTATATTTTATTGTCACATGAGCGAACCACACTGAAGGTAACATCTCACAGGTCGAAGATGAATGACTATCAAAGATGACAAACTTTCCAAAGATTCTGATGCCTGAGCAGGCCAGTCGAATTATACATGACTTTTAGTAGCTTGATTTTGCCCACTGTGTGAAGACATGGCTTCTCAAACGGTTTTGATGACGAGACACTCTACAACATACAAGGGTGGATAAAAGAATCTCAAAGAAATCAAGTTTGAAGAACTTCAATTTCAAATCAATATGTCAAGACTTGGTAAAGAATGAAGACAAAGTTTTACACAAATGAAGGTACAACATTCAGCTTCTATATAGCTTGTACAAGTGTTTAACTTCATCTCTCATTCTTGCATATCATATTGAAAATGTTTTAAATCATTACAATGCATTTTTGCCTCTGTTTCAAAATATTTTTGCAAATTCTGTTCAGAGTAACCGGTTACCACTTCCTGGTAATCGATTACCATGTGTTATCTTTCAAAAATTTTAAAACATCGAGGCTAGTAACCGATTACCCACATGTGATAACCGATTACCACTGACGCAGTGAGCTAGAAAAGTGCATATGTTGTCAGAATTTTGTTTTCTCATTTCTTTTTGAACCATGGAAACTCTTGGTCATTTGCACACTTTTGAAAAGGTGTTTAGATACATTTATATACCTCATAATCTCAGACTTTGAGATTAACCTTCTTGCAAAATTCAAATTTTATTTTCATCTCTCAATTTCTAAATTTTCACAAGTGTTAAAAATTCTTCATTTTCAAGAGCAAAACTATTATACTTCAAATTTCATTATTTCATCATAGTTTCATTCCTCTATCTTTGAACACTTGTATTTGATATATAAGAGTTGATATCTCAAGAAGAAGATCAGTCACAAGATTGATATTTGAAGACTACTGCAACTTACTTAAATCAGAATTTATTTGCTCTTTGATTACATCATATTTTTCCAGCATTGTTGGAAATAAGTTTGTAAGGTTGTAACCTTGTTGTCCAGGATTGTTGAAAGCAAGAGGTCCATTTTGAGAGGATTATTCTCATTGGACTTAGTGAAAAATCCAAGAGGATTGTTCTTGGTGTTTGATTGGTTAGAGCATGTATAGAAATACTAGGTAGAAGTCTTGTCTTAGGATCTAACAATATTGAAAAATCTCTTTTGTGTTGAAAGGGGACTGGAGTACTCTCGAACTGTGAGGGGAACTAGGATATATCGTCGTGTCTTTTTACTTTCCGCTTTTACTACATTCATCACTTAGTAACTTTTAGGAAAGTAAAACAAGAAATCTACATTAAGACCGGAAAAAGATTTTGAGTACCTAATTCACCCTCTCTTAGGTGCAACTCTACTTACAATTGGCATCAGAGCAGGTTATAGGTAACATGTTCCTAAAAGATCCAGATGGCTTCCACTAGCGCGAACCTGATTTTCAAAGATTGCGGTAGTAGTAATAAACCTCCTCTGTTCTCTGAAGAATATTTCGACTTTTGGAAAATTTGCATGAAAGCACATCTAGAGGCACAAGGAGAAGGCATATGGGAAACTGTTGGAACTTATCCTCATGTACCAACTAGTGTTGTAAACAGTGTCGGTACTCCAAAGATTCAAAGTGAATGGGATGATGATGATAAAAAGAGAGTTCTAAATGAGAAGAAAACTATCAATATTTTACAAAGTGCTTTAAGTATGGATGAGTTCTTCCGAACTTCACAATGCAAATCAGCTAAGGAAATTTGGGATACTTTGGTGGAGACCTATGAAGGAACCGCCGAGGTTAAAAGGTCAAGGCTGAACACACTAAGTCAAGAATATGAAATGTTTCATATGCTGCCCGAAGAATCCATTGTTGCTCTCTAGAAAAGATGCGTTCACTTGACCAATCATTTGATTGCATTAGGCAAGACATTCTCCAATGATGAACTAAATCTGAAAGTGTAAAGATCTTCAACAATAGATTGGCAACCCAAAGTTACAGCAATATTAGAGAAGAAAAGTCTCTCAACAATAACTTTCGCATCACTTTTTGGAAAGCTTCAAGAACACGAGTTAGAACTTGGACGCCTTCAAAAACATGAACATCAAGAGAAAAAGTCTAAAGGTATCACATTAAAGGTAGACTCGAAAGAAGGACCAAACGATGATGCATCGGAGGAAGATGAAAATTTTATGCTTTTAGTTAAGAGAGTTGGAAAAAATTTCAACAAAATTGATAAACCCTTCAACTATGCAAAAAAGAAAAAACACTTCAAGCTGCCACATGCTATGAATGTGGTAAGCAAGCTCACATTAAATCGGATTGTCCAAAACTTACTAAGAAAAATGGATTCAAAGGTAAGAAGGAGACAAAGAATATGAAGGCTTATGTTGCATGGGAAGACAATGACATAAGTTCATCATCTGAATCAGATAGCGACAAAAGTGCAAATTTGGTATTGATGGCTTCTCATCACTCCGACAACGAAAATGATGAGGTTAGTACTTATTTTTCACTTTATGATAATGATGCTCAAGAGGCTATAAATGAACTCTTAAATGAATGCAAAGTTTTGCGTAAAACCATATCTTCACAAAAGAAACAGATATCATCTCTAGAAGAAAAAGTGAATACTATGGAAAAAGATGAAAAGAACGAAAAGAATGAAAAGAAAAAGGTTATTAGTGAAGAAAAACAAAACTTTGTATGTAAAAATTATGAATCACTTTCTTTCCAAATTGTTCAACTTAAAAGAGTTTTAGAAAGATATGAAAAAGGACAAATTGGTTTAGAAGGGGTCCTTAGTCAACAAAGATTTTCAAACGATAAAAGTGTACTTGGTTATTCAAACTTTTCTAAACTAAGTTCTAGCAAAAAAATCTTTATTATGGCTAGTGACCAAACTTATAAAGAGAAAGTGAGCAAGCATAAATTTGTGCATCGTCATCATAAAAAGAAAGAGGTCGCTAAAAAGAAATCTTTCGTTCCTAGATATAAGAGCAATTTTGTACCTACTTGTTTTTATTGTGGTATTATTGGTCATACACCTAATGCATGCTATGTTAGAAACTTCAGTATAGCAAGCGGGAATTATGTGTGGGTTAAGAAAGGAAATAATTATGAAGGACCCAAAGCAATTTGGGTACCTAACAAGAAATAACTTATTTTGTAGGTTTGCTTGAAAACCACTTCAAATCTTTGGTATCTTGATAG